AATTCTGATTTTCGTATTGACCAGTTAGACGATTATTAGCCAACAGAAAAAATTATGAGTACTAGTCAGTATTCGAAATTTGATCTTGGTCAATACCCGGACTTTGATCTTGGTCAATACTCGGATTTTGATGATGTTTCAGAAGAAGAAACATACCCTGCATGTAATGGTTTTGATATTGCTCAATACCCGAATTTTGATGATGAAACAGCCGCTGCCGAGGAAGATATTGTTGATGATAATGAGGAAGAAGTTACGACTGTGAATGAACATATTGAACATCCATTCTGTAATTCATATAACCCTGAAGAAGAAGAAGAAGTTCCCGAAGAAAAGAAAAAGAAGAAAATGCCACGGGAGTATAACTGGAATATGCCAGAATTACTTCAGATACCGGAAGAAGAGTTTGTAAAGATAGCAGTTGATTGTTACATAAAAGTTATTCGTATCAAGAAAGATGATTGTTTTGATACAAAGGAAGATTTGAAGATAGCTTTGTATACGAAATGTGTGGAAGATGGCTATCAACTAAAAGTTAACAAATCAAGCAAAGATCGTTTCGAAACAAAGTGTATGATTGACAAAAACTGTATGTGGCGTATGATTGCAAAGAGGATAAAAGATTGTGAAATGTTTCAAGTTAGGAATTTTATTGATAAACATATATGTTCAAGAACCCAAGTTTTTCCTCACCATAGACAGGCAAACAAAAAGGTGTTGGGTGGTTTTCTGGCTGAGTTAATGTTTTTTGAATGGAAGGGTATATCGGGGACATGAAATTATGACTGAAATGAATGCTCGGTTCAAGATTAGTATCTCATATTCTCAAGCTTGGAGAGTTAAATGTTATGCCTTGGAATTGTTGAGGGGATCGCCAGAAACATCGTTTGCCCAACTATCGGCTTATTGTCACAATTTAAAGCTAAAAAATCCTGGGTCGGTAAGTCATATCAAAACAGATAGAGATGGATACTTTGAGTTATTGTTTATCGCCATTGGTGCTGCGGTTAGTAAATCATTATAATTTTGTTGACTCATTTTTGTTAGTTGCATGCATTTCACATTTAAATGATTATATTTCTTGTGTATATGATTTTGTAGATTCGTTCGTTTATTACTTGCATGCGTCCAGTTATTATAGTTGACGGAGAACATTTGAAAGGTCGATACCTTGGAGTAAACTTATTAGCAGTAGCCATGGATGCTAACAATGGGATACTGCCAATAGCTTACGGGGTTGGCAAATCTGAAACCTTTGATTCATGGACATGGTTTATGGGGCATCTTAGGGATTGCATAGGTCCTATTAGCAATCTGACAATCATATCCGATAGGGCAAACTCAATTGACAACGCTGTTAGAAGGTGTTTCCCAGATGCTTTTCATGGACTTTGTGGTGTTCATTTGTACAGAAATCTAAAATCAAGGTCTGTTGGTATAAAAAATCACAAATGGACATACTAGAAGGCTGTAAAAGCTTATCGGGAAGTGGATTTTAATAAGCATATAAATTGTTTAAGACGTGTTTTGCCTCAATGTGCTCAAACACTAGAAGATATCGGGTTTGAAAGATGGTCAAGAGTACATCAACTTGGAGCAAGATATGGTTTCATGACGTCTAATAGTGCAGAATCAATCAACGCTCTAAGTCGTCATTCCCGGAAACTACCCATTTCTATGTTAATGGAGTTTTTTTGAGCCTCTATTCAACAGTGGTACTACAAGAAAAGAAACCATGCAGGTATTATTTCTTTAAATTCGTAGCTTATCATATGTAATATATTTTACTAAGTATTATTTATTTAAATTTACAGGAACATTGGAACGTCGTGTTACACCATGGACTGAAAAAAAGATAATGAAACGTGTTGTGAAGTTAACATCATGGAGAGTTGAACCATGTTCAAACACTTTGTTTGAAGTATTGGATAATAACTTAAATGGGCTTGTCGATCTAAATGCAAAGACGTGTAGTTGTAAGAAATGACAAACATCTGGTTATCCGTATGGCCATGTTATAAAAGTTACTCTTCATCTAAACCAAGATGATTCAAGCGCATACGCTATGGATTGTTACACTACAGAAGTATATCAACAGACTTATGCCGAGATTGTCTACCCTATTACACATCCTTCTGAGTGAGACATACCAGATGACTTACAAACAATTTTGCCACCAGTCATGGACAGCAGGCTACCTGGCCGACCAAAAAATCACGATCGTATATCGTCTAAGGGTGAAGAGAAGATGATATCGACATGTAGTCGGTGCAAGGAAAGTGGTCATACAAGGTTGACCTGTGGATCACCAGTGCCATCACAATCATCTTTTCCTCTACCAAAATATAGATCCTCATCAAAATCGAAAGCTCATATGGTGCCAAGCAAAAGGAAATCAAAATAAAAATCGCAATCAAAATCAAAATCCCAATCACAACCGGCTTCACCTTTTGGGACTTATTAACTTAGGTCATTTTTAAATGCAAACGTTGTATTATGTGTATTTTATGTGTGAATGCATACATTTTCAGTTAGACATTCATTGGTAACTTGAGTTTGAACATTGCTATGGTCTGTTTAGTTGTTATCACTTATCAGATTGTTGTCTGTTATATTTTTTAAGGTGTTTTCTTTGAATTCGCAACACGAAAGTCAATTTCGCAACTCGAATCGCAAATCAAAAATCACAACGCGAATTTGACTTTCGTGTTGCGAATTTGTACCTTCAACAGGTCTTTTTTGCCTTCAACATAATGCATATTGAATTTAAAACAACAAATCAACTTTTACAAATCAATTAAACAAGCAAAAAAATAATTCTTATTTACACATCAAATTAAACAAATCAACTTTTACAAATCAATTAAACAAGCAAAAAATAATTCTTATTTCCTCATCAATTAAACAAATCAACTTTCAATGTAAAATTCAATTAAAAAAGCAAAAAAAGTGTACCCCAAACTGTTGTTTATGCACAAATACATCAATTTCACGCAGCTCACTTCAGGATTAACCTGCAGAAACCAAACATTTGCTCAAACAACACTTTCTACACATCTAAAACCAACAAACATCAAATTACTGAATTCTAGGTACTTAACTAAATATTTTCAAACCAATTAAAGAATATATATGTTAACAACACTTGCTCAAACTTACCAATTGTTTATGCACACTTTCAGCACGCGGATACAGGTAGGCAGCATCTCACATATATCGATCTAGCCATAAAATGCCGAAACCACAAGCCTACTGCACCTCTATCTCTATCTGTGGGAAGTATAAACTGTTTACTTCCTGTCGTCAAACGTTCCAAGCACATGCATACGAGAGGACCACAATCCCCTTTGGCTTTTTGCGTTTGTTGTGGCACAGTCTCGTCTCTGATCATTGTAACTTTGAACTTCTTTAGCTTCTTGTTTCCAGAATTAGTCCAACAATCAATCGCAACCAAGTATTTAGCCAAATGAGCGCTCTTTCCTTTGTAATAATATCTCTCAAATCAGACAATGGTATGCAATTCAACATGCTGTCATATACCATTATCTTCAGGGATGGGAGCTGAAGCTCGACGAGAAGCCAATGACGACGTTCCAAAACAGGGATAAACACTTACAATCATAAATAATTGCGCACATCAAATAAAAATTATGAACACCTTTAAAATATTCAAAAAAATAAATACTAACCTTATCGACCTCCCACCACGCAGGATAAAGTTTAGCTTTTCCATTACTCAACGTATATGAAGAATCTCTCGGATCCTTCAAGTGAGCTACGTGAAAAAACGTCGGCATAATAGTCCATCGAATATTTTTTTTCTTCAATTTCCTTATTACTAGAAGACGTGACACCCATGCATCAATATGCTGTTTTATTAAAAATACATATATTAGTGAATTTATTAATAAATTAAAAAAATTAATCAAAATGCAATATAAGACGAATATAAGACTTACCTCCTTCGAAATAGCCATTATCTTCAACCCCTAATAAAATACCCTACTAAGACCCATCAAGAAACAAATGCATAACATCGTCGAGTTTGCATATGTCAAAATAACACCCCTGGCTACGCTCATATAGATAAAAATCAACTGCGGTCTTAGCCCAAGGGGTATTATCCATAATTGTGTTCGGTAGTGTTTCCCTCTCCTCCTGAGGAATGATACTGGTCGGTAACTCATACGAAAGCCAACATGCATCCATCATATCGGGCACGGGAGGGGGTTTATCAATATGTCGACAAATGACGTATTGTGAATCGGGTTGCGAATTTGACTTCAGTGTTGCGAATTTGACTATCGCGTTGTGAATTTGACTATCGTGTTGCGAATTTGACTTCAGTGTTGCGAATTTGACTTCAGTGTTGCGAATTTGACTTCTGTTTTTCGAATTTGACTTATGTGTTGCGATTTACAAATTCGCGTTGTGATTTACAGATTCGCGTTGCGAATTTGGAAACTGGGTTGTGAAATTGGAGTTCGCGTTGTGAATTTGAAATCGCGTTGCGAATTTGTTGTCATTTTCGCAAATCCAAAAAAAGTTAGTTAAAATAATATATTATAAGGCATTTTCGGTCAGTGAGGTTATTTTCTCTATTATTTTTTCTAGAAGTTGGGATTTCAAACAATTATATTTATATGGTGTATACATTAAATATTTTAAATAAATACTATATATTATAATCACACAAACTTTTAAAAATTAATTTACCAATAGATTAGGGATATTTAACATATATATTTTTTTGAATTAAAAAATGAAAGAAAATAAATTTAATTTTTAAAATTATTCATTTTTCTATTTGCGGTGTAGACTAGGCGTAGGGTTGGGCGATGTTGCGGCGAGGCGGTCAGATATTGCTTCGCCAGGCGAACGTAACAATGGATACATGACGACGGCAACCAAGTAGCACGTGCACCTATATCATAGACTCGTGCCAATACCAAATGAAACTGAAATCCCGCCGTTTAATTTCCATCTCTCCCCACCATCTCCTTTATTTCTCTCTTCTTCGCCGGCACTCTCGAATCTCTGAAACTCTCTTTTCTCGTCCCAAACAATTCATCTTTTCTTGCACTAAATTCAATCCAATTTCAAGGTAATTAAAAAAATTAACTCTTTTATATAAAAATATACCTTTTTTCCTTTTTCAATCTCGTTTGCTTAATCTGTTCTCAAATCCCGTCCAGGTTCAAAGTATATCATTAGCTATTTATTGTTGAATAGCTGTTATGAATCTGTTATTATCTGGCTATTTTTGGCTTCCTAGAAACTTAAAACTTGCTGGAAATGAAGTTTGTTTCGATTCTCTTTTATTGAGTTGAAAGGCAAACGTTTTTGTTGGAATCAGAAAGGAAGAACTAAACCAATCTCAGTATTTATTTATACTACTGCTGTGTTATTTCTCTGTCCTGATAGTTTGATCTGAAGCTAGTTTTGTTCGGCCAATGATTTAGGTTTTTGCTTATCTTAAATATTGTTTAATTGAGCTTCAACTTTGTTATTGTTATTTTGGAACAGGTTGATGGAGCACCGTGAAGTTGTAAACGTGCCTGGTTTGCAGTGATTTGTCTTCTTTTAGTACCGATTGGCTCGAGTTTGGGTTGAATTTTATCACTTTTCGATCGAAATGGATCGTTGTGACACTTCAGGATTTGTTAGTGGGGGTGGGATTTACTCATTCAACGAGATCTAACCCTAGTTTTTGTGGCTAATTTTCTTCACCCCGAAATCAGGTCGACTGCTCTGTTGCATTTGAGATCTGCTCTGCATATCGTTTGTTTTGAGTTTTTAGGTATTGCTAGATGGATTCCAGGTTCTCGAACTTGGGGTTCCCTGCTAATTTTTCTTTGAATGCATTCAACACTTTGGGTAGTTCGATGCAAGTTGGAGTAACTGCATATGGAAAAGATACTGTTCTAAGTCTTGATTCCCCTGGCTCTTCAATCCCTTATATGTCTACATCAAAGGGAGTCAAGAGGAAGTGGAGTTTGATGGATGGAACCATCGGGGAGCAAGTTGGGTCATCATTGGCTCTTCGGCTAGGCCGCACCTCTAGTTCCTCTGACAGCAAGGGAAGCTCAACAACTGCTTGTACCGCCACATCTTCAGCCAAAGAATCTGATGTGGAGTCCTCAATGGATATTGAATTGGATTTTACCCTCCATCTTGGAAATGAGAAGGTAAACAACCCCAAGAAACCTTCTGGTTCAGATCTGAAAGGACGAAAGGGATTGCAACTGAACGTGGACCTGGAGTTAAGTCTCTCAACAGGTTTTTCTGAATCTGATGTTACTGGTGTCCATCTTATCTCTTCTCCGGATACGACAGGTATGATGATGCCTATAGCAGTTGAAGGGCCCCCAAATGCAGATGAAAGATCTTCATGTCAATGGAAACCTGGAACTGGTTCGTCACCATTTCAGAGTTTACCAGCAAAACAGGCTAGTGTCTTCTTCGAGGAGGTTCTAAGAAGCATTGATCTTTCTCCCGTTGCTCCAGAGTTATCATCGAGCGTGATTACTACCCCGAAAAGCTCCGTCACCTGCACTTCAGGGATAGCGCGGAAACAACAACCACAATACCGCAGCTCTAGTTTGAAGACATGTCAGGTTGAAGGATGTGGAAAGGGGGCCAGAGGTGCCTCAGGCCGTTGCATATCTCATGGTGGTGGCAGGAGGTGTCAAAAGCTTGGCTGCCATAAGGGAGCAGAGGGCCGGACTGTGTATTGCAAGGCCCATGGTGGCGGTCGGCGATGTGAATTTCTTGGTTGTACAAAAAGTGCAGAAGGTCGTACTGATTTCTGTATTGCCCACGGTGGTGGTCGTAGATGTAACCATGATGGTTGTACTCGAGCTGCCAGAGGCAAATTTGGATTATGTATACGTCATGGTGGTGGGAAGAGATGTCAAATAAAAAATTGCACAAGAAGTGCTGAAGGCCTCTCAGGACTTTGCATCTCACATGGAGGTGGGCGTAGATGCCAGTTTATAGGATGCACAAAGGGGGCTCAAGGGAGCACCATGTTCTGCAAGGCACATGGTGGTGGAAAACGGTGCACGTATCTAGGATGCACCAAGGGTGCTGAAGGGAGTACCCCTTTCTGTAAGGGTCATGGAGGGGGGAAAAGATGTGCATTCGAAGGCGGTTGGGTTTGTACAAAGAGTGTGCATGGAGGAACCAACTTTTGTGTAGCACACGGAGGAGGCAAGAGGTGTGCCATGCCTGAATGCACAAAGAGTGCGAGGGGACGTACGGACTATTGTGTTCGACACGGTGGAGGTAAAAGATGCAAGCTTGAAGGGTGCGGCAAAAGTGCACAAGGTAGCACGGATTTCTGCAAGGCACATGGTGGAGGCAAGAGATGCTCCTGGGGCCATCCTGGGTCAGAATATGGCAACCAACCTTCTGGTCCTTGTAACTCTTTTGCAAGGGGCAAAACAGGTCTCTGTGTACTCCACTGCAGCCTGGTTCATGATAAGAGGGTTCATGGTGGTGCAACACTTGGGCATATTGTCCTAGACCCTCAACTCAGCAATTCTGGGAAGATGAAAGGGATTGCTACTACGGAGGACGTAAATGTTGACGCTATGAAAATGTGGAGTGCCATAGAACCTTCTGCTGGCAGAACTTGTTCTAGTTTGAATCAATATGGACTTCCTTATGGTTCCAGCTCTGTCAGCAAAGGGGGCTCTGCTTTTGCGCCTGAAGGTAGGGTTCATGGTGGGAGTTTGATGGCAATGCTAGCAGGTGATTCTGGTCTTGCCTCGGTTGACACTGCAGGTTTCTCCGGTAATGCATCAGAGCTAAATAAGTCGTTTAAGTCCCCCCAGAAGCGGATGTGAGGCGGATGTAAGTTTATTTTCTCAACTATTATCAAATTATTCTGGGAAGTTAGCCAGTTTATTGTTTGCATCTTTTGGTTCAAGTTTGGTAGTGTTAGAAACCCTTGGTCATTCATTAGTTTTAGATTGCAACAAAAGTGCTTTATTACTGGGTGTAACCATTTGGGGTGGGAAATAGCTATAACAATGAATCAGGGTCATTGTTGGTTGTTGTAAATAATTACATGTTTCCAGCAGGTTGTTGTGAATATGTAGGGCAGTGCCTGTAAGATCCAGTCGGTTTGTGGAACATTTATGGTTATAATAAATCTTTTCTTGGTAAAAATGCTTGAAGGATTTTTATTTCCCCAGTAGTGCACCTGTCAAATTATTTTCCCAATTAGGCCATCTGCTACAGTCCAGCATGAAGATGCATAGCGATCCGTGCTTCTTGTAGAAGACGCCTAGCAATCCGCGCGTGGCCTCTAATCCGTGCAGCAGCACTTTTGCCTTTACTCGGTTCCGGTTTGAAGACATGTAAAAATCCTGACGCTTTCACCTTTTACTGTAGCAAATGGCATATCCTAAAAAATAAATCGGCGGTTTCATTATTTGGAGAATTTAAAAACTGGGAACATTATCCCAGCACTTTTGTAAGATCAGTCTTGAAGTTGCCCATAATTAAGGACTTTGCCCCCAAGAATCTCTGCAGATGTTGAACCTAAAACGTTACTAGAGACACTCGTCCTGAGGAAGTCTCAGGTACGTGGGGCGGCCTTGGATTGCCGTCCCTGTGCTTTTGGAAGTTGTATTTTTAAAGACTATTTAATTAAACAATAAATTAATTATATCTTACGTTTTCGAATTATGACTTGTTTTAAATTGTCTTTAATTTTTTTAACATTATATTATAACATTTATTGTAAACTAATTTCTAAATTTTTGAATGTTTTAATTTCATTCATAAATTATAGGTTATTTTAATTTAATCCTTAAAATTTTCAGCGTTTTGATATTATCTTCAAACTATTGATATATGTTAATCATGTTTTATGTTAATAAAAAATGTGATCGTTGTGTTATATAATAATATTAATAATTGATGTTAGGTTTAAATAATATAATAATTTAATTGTGAAATGTTGAAACAATTACATAACAAACTTTTAATAATTTAATTGTGAAATGTTTATATCACATTATATTATTGTCTCCTACAGTCACCATGGCGTCCGCTCAGCCCTGGCGTGGTAATGCAAATGGTGCCTGTGGATAATCGGAGCAGGAGGGTATCTAGAAGAGCGTTATGAGAACCCTCAAGTCACTACGACAAGGTTAAAAGCGTTTTCATCCCGGAAAACAATCGTCGACTAAAGTACAAAGAGACGACGTTTGCTTTCGTCCAATTTTCTTCCTCAAGTGAACTAGACTTAGCTATTTCGAAACTAAATAACTCAAAGGAAGATGGACGTCTGATTTCCGTCTCCAAGGCAAGATTTTCCTCCCCTCCCTCGCGCAAGCAACGCCCTTTTGTTTTGGCAAAGGAGACTCGGTATACTCCAAAGAAAGCAATCCCCGACGTGGGCTCCTCAGAGGTAGTTAGACCTCTTAACAAGGTGTCTGTTTGGGATCAGAAGAGGGATGATAGAACCTATAAATCTGTTCTCTCAGGGAAAACAAAGCCACTGCTCAACAACATTGATACGGTGGAAGCTAAAAAAAAGTGTCAAATCGAGGAGCTAATGCTTCTAACCTGATGGATATCCATACTACAGTTGAAGAGATGTCCTGGACCAAGAACTGTTTGGTTGGAATTATTAAAAATATACTTGATAGAGAGCAAGTCCAAAATGGTCTCCGAAATGAAGGTTTTCCGGTTAGAGTTATAAAATGGGGTTCTGATCATGAAACTGTCCTAATCATATTCGATTCCAAAGATCTCTTTGAAACTCTCTGGTCGTAAAAAAAGAAAGAGATAAATTTTTGGTTTACAATTCTTGAAATCCTAATTATGGAGAAGGATATTCCTTGCATGTTGTTTACGGTGTCCCCCCTGTTATGTTGAAACCATTTTTTTTTGAAGCACTTGGAAACAGATGGGGGAAAATTGTAGCTTTGCATGAAGACACGAAGAATTTGGACAGAATGGATATTGCCTCATTTTACATTCGCGTCGCTTCCCAGGAAGAGGTTCCTAAATTGAAGTGTTAAGGCAAGTCAAACCATATCAGCATTAAGCTGGGTCGGGAAGAAATGCTGGAGGTTTCTCCTTGGCATGAGGATGGAAATTGTATTTTCGCCGATGAATGGCCGGAGGAAAACTCCGTTGAGGATGTTTTAGTCCCCACCGTGGATTCGAGAAGATCAGATTCAGAGCAGATTCTGTTGGAGCCTCTTCACATGCCAAATGTATTGGAAGAATCTTGGGCTTGTTAGTATAACGACGGAAATTATGTTCGCGCGTCGTCCCAGACTCATGCCAGCTGAGAATGATGATGATGTACAGACTTTTGGGGAGTTAGGGAAAGAGAAGTGAGGCGGCCCGTGCGTTTTTTTAAAAGATGGTAATTATGTTGCCTTTACCTGTCTTTGACGATCAGAGAGGTAATGTTAATAGTCAAATGGCACATGTATTCCTAATTCTATTGCACTAGTTGAATTAATCACCTTACAATCATCATTGAACGAATCTGGAGGAGACGCACATGTATTCCGGTGGTATTTATTTTATTTATGTATTACAACAATATTAAGAATGACCAATGTTTTTGGGTCGAGTTCCATAACCTTTAAGGGTGGTACAACATTTAGGTTTGTCGGTGTTTCCATAATTTATCCAACGGCATACACTTATTTCTAGGTCATGAGGGGATCCAGGTCATTTTAGTATTCGAGGTTATTTTAATTATTTAGAAGCTTGAGGGTATTCCGATCATTGCAATCAATTTATATATATATATATATATATAGTACTTCCGATAGATAGGTCTTCAGATACTTCTTCAGAAAACCAGAATATTCGAGTATATTGTGGTCTTGAAGGTTATGAATCGATTATTAGAACTTTCTAAACAAATCAAGAGCTCAATCGGTGAATTTATAGATATATCAAGTCAAGAACGAATTCTCATGTCGATTCCACTATCTGGGTCAATTAAGGCATTTTTTTTTACTTCATAAAGGTATTTTCATAATTTCCTATCTAAGCATTTCTGAAATTTAAAACTTTTATCGAGAATATTTAGAATTTAAGGATTATGAGGTTAATTCTTTTATCGATTAAACATCAACCTTGAATTTATTTCTTATCAGTCTTCCAATTTCTATAACAGTCTTTCGAGTCTTAATCGGTTTATCATCATCTTATCAGAATCAATATGAGTTTAGAGTAATTATTATTTATTACGAGTGTAACCCCCTATACCTGACCTAGACTTTACGATCGAATCTAGGCGGTCACATGTCGTATACAAAAATATTTTTCAGTAAATAAAATACATAAAATGTTGAAATACAGAAATATATATGATGTAAGGTTCATACTGTAACATATACTGACATCGAAAATCCATATGAAAATAGATTTAGAACATAATACATGTAATACAGATACAAACAGATAGTAGTAAAAACACGTGTCACCAAAATATAACAGAAGAGCATACAAAAATACATAGTGGTACAAAACGAAGAACAATCGATCCTCCTGATGCCAAGTCTGATAGCCTACTGTCGGATAATATTTGAAAAGTTAAAAATTAAAGAGTGAGATAAAAAGCCTAGTGTGCTCCTTGTGGTGTATAAAACATTCAAATAAATACTTTAGTAAATATTATTTTATAAAACATACTTTTAAACCATGAACACTACCCCCATCCGAACATAAAAAAAATGTGTAGGTTCCCATGATCCATACACCCACTTGTACACCTGGTAAGGACCTTATACTAATGGCATAAGGACCACTTACCCTGTGCACAAAGCAGAGGAGGATGCGGTAAGGTCTTAAAAGTCATAGACTAAGCCTGAGATACTTCCTTCAATTATACCCCTAACGTTAGTAAATATTTACGCATTTGAGTGAAAAATGGTAGTTTAATTCTTTCAATTATGAAAACATTTCATATTCCATAATTAGATACACAAATACAGTAACCAGAGATCATGTTAGAAATATACCATAAATCTTATACCAAAATTCAATGCATACAGCAAAACAAATTTCGTGAAATCAAAATATTTAATATCCATCAGAATCCCAAAATAAGTCAACTCCCCATTTCATTGGACCCTACGAGATTCTTGAGAGAGTCAGACCCATAACTTACCGATTAGCCTTGCCGCTAGAAATGAAGTGAATTAGTAATGTTTTCCACGTGTCGATGTTTAGGAGGTATCGTTTTGACCCCTCTCATGTCATCTCGTTATTACAAATCGAGGTGAGCCAAGATATGACTTATGAAGAAAAGACGATAAGGATCTTAGATCATGAAGTCAAGGAATTAAGAAACAAGCAGGTTCTATTAGTAAAGGTCTTGTGGAGAAACCACAAGGTAGAGGAAGCTGCTTGGGAGACCAAAGAAGACATACAACTCCAATACCCATATTTATTCTACTCAGGTAAATTTTGAGGACGGAATTTCTTCTTAGGAGGGGAGAGTTGTAACGCATCGATTTTCGGATTAGTAGATTTGGGCTAACCGAGGAAGACTTTTTATAGACCCAGTGGGTTACAAGAAGCCTTAATTCAAGTGTAGGGTGTTTTGGACTTGGTTCTAGCCCTTTATGAATTAAAAAGGGTATCTTTGGATTGTGATTAAAAGATAAAGGACCAAAAGAGCTATTAGACCCCAAATTCTTTAAAATGCTGATTTTTATTCAATTTTTGTGATGTCACCCAGGAAGAAACAAGGAAAAAGAGAGAGCTTTATTTTCTTCCAACCTTTGTCATCTTCCTCTCTTCATTCAAACTCTATTTCTTATTTTCTCTTCACCATTCTCAAGCATAGGTGAGAACTTGTTTCTTAACATCCCTATCCCAGAATAGTGAAGGTAAGAGTTGAAGTTATCTTCTCAAGAGCTTCAAATTAAACTCACAACCATAGAGTTTGTCCATGGTGGTCATAGTTGGGTTTAAGTAGGGTTTTGTGTTTTAGATCTTATGGGTGGCTCTAAAATGTTCCTAAACCTTAAGGGTCATATTCCTAACATTTCTAAGCCCTTAAGTGAGTTAATACCTCAATTTCATAGCTTGTTTTAGTGAGACAAGTGGGTGAAGGCTCTAAAAGCAAGGAGAAAGAAAAGACAGTTCTCAGTGAGTCTTGAGTTGATTTTTCAG